AATTCAATGACAGATGCAGTTCTCTCAGGTTTGAGTTTGATCTTAGAGCTGAAGCCAGAGCAGCACAACCTTTAGCTGTGACGCCACAATCTCTCAACCTGCAGAACAACAACACACTCTTCACTCTCAGTTCAGCAGAAACAATGACACAAACAGAGATATTGTAATATTAAATCATAAATCTGTGTGGGTTTAATGTTTTTATTGGTTCTTGTTTACTTTTGTTTTTTGTGTGTTTGTATAAATCACTTTAATCTGAACATAATGATTTTCCTTGATATAATATGTATAATTGTTTCATCTGAGATTCACATATGATCTTACCACAGTATCTCCAGTTTACAGCTAGGATCCTTCAGTGCATCAGAGAGCAGCTTCACTCCTGCATCTCCTACATTATTCCCAGACAGACTCAGTTCTCTCAGCTGTGAGGGGTTTGATCTCAGAGCTGAACTCAGAGCAGCACAACCTTCATCTGTGACGCCACAATCCCACAACCTGCAGAACAACAACACACTCTTCACTCTCAGTTCAGCAGAAACAAGCACACAAACACAGTTACATTATAAAATAAATCTGTAATCTGTGTAGGTTTAATGTTTTCATTAGGTTTTTTTTGTGTTTGTATAAATCACTGTGATCCGAACATAATGATTTTCCTAGATAAAATACGTATAATTTTTTCAGCTGAGATTAATGTATGCCCTTACGTCAGTATCTCCAGTTTACAGAGAGGATCCTTCAGTCCATCAGAGATCAGCGTCAGACCTCTATCTCCTAAAGAATTCAATGACAGATGCAGTTCTCTCAGGTTTGAGTTTGATCTTAGAGCTGAAGCCAGAGCAGCACAACCTTTAGCTGTGACGCCACAATCTCTCAACCTGCAGAACAACAACACACTCTTCACTCTCAGTTCAGCAGAAACAATGACACAAACAGAGATATTGTAATATTAAATCATAAATCTGTGTGGGTTTAATGTTTTTATTGGTTCTTGTTTACTTTTGTTTTTTGTGTGTTTGTATAAATCACTTTAATCTGAACATAATGATTTTCCTTGATATAATATGTATAATTGTTTCATCTGAGATTCACATATGATCTTACCACAGTATCTCCAGTTCACAGCGAGGATCCTTCAGTGCATCAGAGATCAGCTTCACTCCTGCATCTCCTACTTTATTCCCAGACAGACTCAGTTCTCTCAGCTGTGAGGGGTTTGATCTCAGAGCTGAACTCAGAGCAGCACAACCTTCATCTGTGACGCCACAATCTCTCAACCTGCAGAACAACAACACACTCTTCACTCTCAGTTCAGCAGAAACAAACACACAAACACAGTTACATTATAAAATAAATCTGTAATCTGTGTAGGTTTAATGTTTTTATTGGTTCTTGTTTACTTTTGTTTTTTGTGTGTTTGTATAAATCACTGTAATCTGAACATAATGATTTTCCTTGATATAATATGTATAATTGTTTCAGCTGAGATTCACATATGATCTTACCTCAGTTTCTCCAGTTCACAGCGAGGATCCTTCAGTGCATCAGAGATCAGCGTCAGACCCCTATCTCCAACATAATTCTCAGACAGACGCAGTTCTCTCAGCTGTGAGGAGTTTGATCTCAGAGCTGAACTCAGAGCAGCACAACCTTTAGATGTGACTCTACAATCAGACAACCTGTTGAGAACAATCACATTACAACACAATGTTATCATCATGTGATATTATTTAGTGCTGATACATTTGGAAATATATAAAAGACAATATACTAATATACTCTGTTGAGATGTGATGAAACAATAGATGCACCCAGTGTAGACGGTCGCAGAACACAAAGGGCTTTATATCTTTATATAGATATAAATATACTTTGTATATAATATGATGTAATATGATCTTTATACTTTTAACAGTCCAAAATTCCATTTAGAACAATCTAAACTGACATGGGCTATTTTCCACATTTCTCTGAACAAAGAGAGAAGTCAAGAGAGAGCATTCATTTAATTTTCACTTTAATTTTCATTTATTCATCATTCATCACAGCATTAATAGATTTAGTTTAATTGTACAGGGGCATTTTTCAGGCCAAAACCCCTGTTAATTTCTGTCCCGTGGACAGGGGAAGTGAAGCCTTGTCCAGCCTTACACACACTCTGCATATGACGCTAGACTCAATTTGTTGAGTTGTAGGTGGAAATAATACACAGCTTACATTATTCTTTTCTTTCAACAAACACTTCACCATTATTAATATCAAAAGCAATACGTGGATGGAAGTGCTGCTGATGTTATGCTGTAGAGAAACAAGTTCATCAGTAAATTCTGTTGGTAAATGAGTGAAACATTGTCTTGGGGCTTTAATTAATAGTATTCCAAAATAGTTTTTAAACCAATGTAAAATTATTGACACCCCTTTCCGTTCTTATGAGAATAATTAATGTTTGTTTGTTTTTTTTCAGTTGAATTGGCTTTGCATTTCATGATGGTCAATGAACAAACAAAATCACTATGACAGCTGCTGTAGATTTTTTGGTGATTGTGTCCTGTATACATATTATTCTGGCTGCGCTTGTACTATATTTAAGATGCAGGGTGAAAATGCAAATAAAATGATTAGTGACTAAATATTTTATGAAAATGTTGAATGACAGAATAAACAATTTTATAAAATTTTTATAATGAACAATAAAACCATTTCCCCACAGCCTGCTTTGCTTATATTTACCAAGGGTGCCAAACACATTCAGATATGATCAGATATACATTTTCATGCTGAGATTCACATATGATCTTACCTCAGTGTCTCCAGTTTACAGCGAGGATCCTTCAGTGCATCAGAGATCAGCTTCACTCCTGCATCTCCTACTTTATTCCCAGGCAGATTCAGTTCTCTCAGCTGTGAGGAGTTTGATCTCAGAGCTGAACTCAGAGCAGTACAACCTTCAGCTGTGACGCCACAATCTCTCAACCTGCAGAAAAATGACAGGCCCTGCATCCCAATGTGCATACTATCCACCCTACCTGCCAAAAATAGTATTGAAAATGACTAATATCACAGAATTTAGGATGGATATTATGCACACTGGGGCGCAGTCACACTCTTCACTCTCTCAGTTTAGCAGAAGAAAATAACACAAACACAGACTATGATACTAAATGATAAATCTGTGTGTGTTATACTAGGAGGTATTATTAATATAATTTTGACTCATGTCTGAAGGGACGTTTACACAACACCATTTCCAGTCTATAGGATTGTGCAAGCAATATCGCCAGCTCATTTTCAAGGTAAGATTCTAAAGGCAGGTTGATTTATTGCGAAAAGTTACCAAATTATGTTGTGATGTCATTGAGCGATGACATCATTACGTAACCATGGAGCAAAATTGCATCATTGCATAGAATACAAAATTACATTACTCAAAAGTGACTGGCCATTTGAAATATGTTCATTTAGATTTGCTTGTAAAAGTAATATTACATATGTCTAGTGGTCGACCAATATTGACAGCGATGCCGATATCTTGGAAAGCAGGGTGGCTGATGGCCGATATAATTTTATTTATTTTAATTAATATTTAAGAAATTTTAAATAATTAGAAAATTGATTAAAAAAAATACATGTGTAAAATAAACATATTTATAATTTAAATGACATTCTTTTTCACAAATAAATAAATATTTAATAAAAATATAATTAAAAAGGAAGTAAACACTGTAACCAACAGGGCACTCAGTAATCTGGGAAGTTTGTGTGCATTGGGATTTGGGAATCATATTTTTTCCAATAAAGCCAAGGTAGTTCAAGGTAATTAAATTAAAAGCTCATTTTACATACAGCACACAGTGAAAATGACATGAATATGACGGTGGGCAAAAGCATGAAGCGCAGCATAATTTGAAATCACGAGTTTAAAGTTAGTCGATCGCGTGTCTCCAGTGAAGCTGAACTCTCCTCCTGTCCGCATTCAATTCACACAGACCGACCGTCACGCAGAGAACACGCGATCATGCAGGATACAAATGCACACTTCACAAGATCTCACAGCTCGATTTGACTAAGTTTGCAAGATTTTTGAAATTAAATGTTCATTAGTCATTTAAAGATTTGTTTAAATAATATAAATGCGTATTTGCTGAATGCTGATGGAAAAACAAGAAAGTATTATAATGTTTGCCTTTCTATAACTAATAATATAAATTTAAATACTTTTTGTATACATTATAATTCCTTTGTTAAACGACGACAGCGAACAAGGAGAATGTGAACACTGTGTGCGCAGGGCGCTGCCTCTCTGAGCACCATCAACATAAATGTCCCGCCTCGAACGCATCGGCCAAACAGAAAAACTTATCGGCCGATGCCGATATTTGAAAAAGTCAACCACTACATACATCCCGGTGCGCTCTATTCAAACACGCAAAAATTAAGATGAATATATAACAGTCTTTTAATCCAACACACAGGGTACATTGAATCAATAAAGTATTACACATATTTGAAAAATTAAATTTTATTTTCTTATCAACTAGTAAAACTAAACATTCTGAACAATTACAGCGTTAAGCAGTGTATTGGTAGTTAATATGCTAACTAACTGATCAACAATTATAGATACAAGCTAATAACGATCTGTATTATAAATGAACAATCAATACTAAACAATTGAATAATTACAGCTAGCAGCTTCATTCAGACGTGTCAACTGCTAAACAACTCTCCAGCTCTCTCCAAACTGATGTACTGCCTTGCTGTTCAATGCTTGCTTCTTTTTGTGTAATTCAGAGGAAACATATGCGCCTTTTTATTGTTTGAGTCACTTTTCAAAAGTTGCTAAAAGTTACCAAATAAATTCACAAAATTTGTTATGTGCTTTTTTTGGAAAAAGGTTCCAAGGGCAGTCTAAAAAGTTGCTAAATCTAGCAATAAAATTAAGTTGGCAACTTGAACAAAGAAGATAGTTAGAAAAATATTTAATCTCTGCTCATATAATGAAATATAAAGTGCATATCATCCTGAAAGTTGTGAAGCTCGTTCTGAAGCTGATGTGAGAAATAAAGCAGAAGCACAGTGTTACTTCTGGCTTGAGCTTCGTAATACTCTTATTATACTGTGAAGAAACAAGTTCATTACTGAAAATTTAGTTGGTAAATGAGTGAAAAATTGTCTTGAGGCTTTAATTAAAAGTACTCCAAAAATAGTTTAGAGAAAAACAGGTGAAATATTATTTCAGGCTTGAGCTTCATAATACTCTTACATGCTCTCATGAACAGGCATACTACAGTTGACCTGAAGCACTGATTTGCAGTTAATATTTTTCTTTCAAACAACTATGGTTTTGCTTCAGAAGACGCATATTTTTGGATTATAGCTGTTTGTTTTCCAGTTTTTGAAACATAAAATTTGAGGTTTCAAAGATTATGTGTATCTTTAGTCAGATGCATTTACATTGTGACTGTGCCTCAGATGCAATCAACAAAACCATCTGTAAAAGGTGTGAACCAAATGGTCCATACAATTACAATAACAAAGGAACAGCATTCCTCAGGATCTCCAACGGGGGTCCTAAAGTATCTGTTGTTTGTAGCCACAGGCTGAACTTTGGGAGAAGCTGAGATTCTTACAAGGGTTAAGATATTCTGAAGACTGACACGCTAACATCGCTGTTGAAGACCTGCTACCTTCTGTTATGCCTGCCTATTGCCCCTTGTTGGCTCTGCTGCTTAGTGCAAGTGCTGGCTGGGCAACAGGTGAAATCAATCATTATTTAATGCTCTAAGGGTGCGGTAGCAATGATAAAAAAGACTGGTATGTCTTTGAGTCTCGTTCTCTCTCTGGTGTTGTTTTTCCCTCGTTTTTTTCTCTTCTTTTTTATACATTAATACGTACGCATGCGTTTCCCCCCCCCCCCCTCCATAGACGTCTATTTGTTTGAAAATTAACAGTTTTCTTATTTTGAAAATAAACTGATTTATTGTATGGAATTTTGTGTTTTGCCTCTTTTGTGTTGCGGCTTACAAGCCAGCCATAACATAAAATTGGGGGCTCGTCCGGGATTTTGAATTTGTTTGTTTGTTTGAGGGATATTTTTTCCTCTTCCGTATTTTCGGTGAGAATTAGCTTTCACTCTGGTTAGTTAGTGTTTCAGCAGAGCTGCGTGTGAGTGGTCTTTGTATCGGAACAGTGTATGTTGTTATGCTGATTTTCTTTTGTATTTTATTTGGGGTTTTGGAAGGATATCCCGGGTGGGAGTGTGCTTCTCGTGCAGCTGAACTCATTTGGAGAATGGCTGTTACAAGATTCAGCGTTTCAAGTAGCCTCGAGTCTGGCAGTCCGTTGAGGACTAGAGAGGGTAGTTTAACAATAATCAGGTATATCGGAGATGAAAAGCCACTGGAAATCCTGGTGAGAGCTTCAATATTTTTTCTCTTATCTATTTTTTTCCCTCCCCGAGTTTACTTCTTTTATTAAATTTGATAAAGAGAGCACATGTGGGTATTAACGTTAGGTGTTAGTCTTGCCAATCTTAGGTGGGGAATTATGTGGTTGCTTGTGTAGGCTGGTTAAAATAGTAAATATTCAGGTTTACACGCATTTTATTCCTTGTGTTTAAGGACAATAGTAGTATAGACAATGGAGGGATAAGTAAACAGCTGCGTAGCCGATTGAATATGAATAAGTGTTGTTTATTGATAGCATTACATTGGTTGCTTATGCCTGATGCTGTAACATTCCTCTTATGATTTAGTAGGCTTTATTGTCGTCTTAATAAAACACTGGAATTTAATGGTATTAAAGCAGTGACGGTTAGACCTTTTTGATCGATCTGAGTGATAAGAACTGGTATTTCATTCAGCTTGATCTTAATGTTATAGTGTTGAGCTAGGTAGCGTGAAATAGTATGTCAATATTTATATACTGAATATTCTTTGTGGGGTTAAGTTGTTGCTAGTGTGACGGATGTGGTCTTTCTCCTCCACTCTACGATGTGACTTGAATGAACACCACTGAGATCCAATAAGACACCGCTCTGTACAATGGACTCAATCTTTGTCCGAAGCCCCCTCCAATAAAGGCTCGGACACAATGCTGGTTGGTCATAATCTTTCTTTTCTTTACTGCAGGCTGTAAAATGACATAAATCACCCCTTTAGTGGTTATTTTGCTGCAGGCATAAGTTACCTAAATAAAATGTAAAATAAAATTATCATTGTGGCCTTGCTAACGTGAGTTCACAAATGGCCAAATAACTTATAAAATATATGTTAATAGTCAAATTAAATGGTCAAAATATTACCCTAACTAAATCATAAACATCAAATACTTGAAAACTCAACTTATTTTGCCTTATAATCGATTATATATAACTAAATTGAGACGGAGCATAAGCATACCCACCCACAGCGTGCAGTACACATTGCAACTGCTGTGTTGCGTCATCTGTTTTACCAAACATTTTATCTGCCTGCAGTTCTCACACAAACCACACGAGGGCACCAGTACAACATGAAATTAACCGCTGCTGAATTCATAAGAATTCACAATAAAACTAAATAAAATCCTAACTCTGTTACACTCACCCCCACTGAATTCTGCTGAATTAAGGCAGCGGTTAGTACTCCAAAACAAAACACCCATCAGTACATTTGCATACTCACACATAGAGAGACCTACAGGTAACAGGTAAGCCAAACACAAGGTTATCTCAAAAGATTAAGTGGAAAGAGAGGAGCGCCAATCTCTCAGACCAACTCCTGGCAGTAAGATGCCCATATACATCTCACAAAACTCTATACCAAGGTATACAGTAAGCAAATATAACTTACACAGAACAATGTGTTATTAAAAAAATTATAATAATAAAACATTGCTTCTTGTGTCTTCGTATTCATACATCCTACATCTTATTTGTTTACAAACATATTGAACAACAAAACATTTAAACAAAATAATAAAAAAACATTCAAA